TTTGCATGCATTTGTTCAAAAAATATCTACTGAGTTCTTATCTACATTTTCCCAGAAAAATATATGCACTGCTGGGATGTCTACTGTGATCACAGAAAGTGTGTTTGCTTGCAAGATTTATGCAAGGTGGAAGAAGGAGAGAGAAGACATTTTAAGAAATAGATGATAACAAAATAAGGGGAAATTGAGATTATAAAAGGAAAGAACAATAATAAATGTGGAGGAAAAGGAAGAGATGCCCCTTGGTCCTCATCTTCCTTCACACTCATATTATATTTCACTTATAGTGATTAATTATTGATTTGTCTCATTCTTTCTTTCAAAGCACAGTCATCAAACCCAATGGCTGATGTTCTTTGGAGAACAGAGTCTGTGTGAGAATTGGTGTTAGTACTTCATTTGGGCAATGAGATGTCATTGAAAAATCTATACTCATATCCGTTCTAGATCCTTGACAATCTCCCTCTTCTGTGATGCTACAAGCTTTGGTTTCAGTAACACATAGCATGAAATTATCAAGTTAGTTGGTCTACTTTTGAAAGAAAAATATGTATACACATACAGGAAGAACATATGCTTTTCTTCTTTACAAAATCAGATTAAGTCAGACCCATGTGTAAGTAAACATGTTTATTTATCTGCAAGCCATTTCTTTTTCCCATGAGCACTGTAAAACATCTCCTTCAGCTACTCTGCATTTTGTTTTCCAGCTCTGTCCTGCTCTCACTTAAATCATGTAAAGTATTTCCTGAGCTAAATAAATTGAGAAATACAAAATGTCAAGAAGTGCCTGATAATTTAATTAGTGATAAAATAGGAGCTCTTCAGTAGTTTTGCTAATCATAGTAATGTAATAAGCACACCCACATCACACTAACATAAGTTTGTTACACTTGATTTAGAAAATCACTAAACTTAGATTTTTAAGTAGCAATCAAACACAGCCAGTAAAAACCAACCCTAATTTAGACTTCCAGTGACCAAGTTGTCTCTCAATATTTAACAATCCTTTTTCCTTTACAAAATGTTTCACATCTTTGGAGAGAATGTTTAAGCCATATTCTCACTTGCATCTTTATCTAGTTCTATTTGTCAAACTATTATCTATCTATCAACCATTCAGCTAAAAAAGCAATCATATGGTCTATGTTTGCCTCTATAATAAAGTAAGGCTTACATAATTATATATATATATATATATATATATATATATATATATATATATATATATATATATAATAAATTGTCACAAGCTTTCTTACTTCCTGTCACTTCTAGAAAACTTGCCTATACTGCCACAGTTGCTTATATCAAGATTATGGTTGGGTAACTTTCTAAGTATTCTCCTTAGGTAAGACATAGATGGAGTCAAACTCAACCCTGGACTACTTGTGTACTTTGAACTCCATAACAATAACCTATGAAAAATGACTTTCAATTCCCAAACACCATCCTGTAGATTATGCATTTGAGATACAAGCAGAGAGAGAAGACAGTCTAATAGAATAGGTCTAATAAGTCCCTGAGACTTGACTCAGGATGCCATCCTTCCTCTCCCCTGCTCCACCTCCTCTCTCTCTTGGTCTCCTTCTCCTCTGTACCATTCTTTTGCTTGTTAGTAAGACATGTCCCCCTGCCTTCATTCACCTCTTCCTTCACTGTCTGGTTCACTAAGGAGTATGGGGTGAGCCTGTTGACTATACTTCTCTTCTCCCCTGCTGACTTCCCCTGCAGCCGTCATCCCAATAACAGGAAAATTCCAAGGAGGAAGTACCATAGAACAATGCACTTATTTCTTTAGGCCTCAACAGGATTCATCAAGTTTTCTGCTCTGAGTTAGCAAAGGCTATTTCATTCAGTTGTCTGTTTCTTCCTTAGCACAAACAAGATAAAATGCTACCCCCTTGTTTAAACAGCCAGGTTGGTTTCTCTCCTCAGGGTAACTGTAAAGGGCAGTCCTAGTACTATATTCATGACGCTTCATTCTCACACTCAAATGAGCTTATTGACTTCAAGACCAATTCCTATAGACAAGTAAAGGGCATTTCTAGCCCTTGACAAGACTGGAGAATATCTTCTCCAATGCCCCCTTAAGAAATAGATCCATCTGTTCAGAACGAACATTATTTATACTTCAAAACATTCCTGGATAGCCAAATAAGTTTGCAAATAGGACTTGACCACTCTGAGAGTTTCTTTAGCATATTGACATTTTAATCTTCTTACAAAGAGCTGAGCATAAAGAATTCATTCTCTGCTTTCAATGCCTAATCATACTATCAAAAATAAAGTCTTAACTCCCAAGTAGTGCAGAAAGCCTCCTTTCCCAACACCTGTAAATTCCCCTACCCCTTTAGTTCTCCTCACAGCAGCTTACAGGCCACCTCAATATACAAGCATCAGTCCCTCTATTCAGTTCCTATGTTCTCTCCACCTACAATGACAACAGAACTCTGACAAGCATTGGCTCCTCCAAGAGGATTACTTTCAGGAAGGTTATCCTTAAATAGTTAAATGGTTTTGACCATATTGTGTTTGCAATGATCACGAGACTTGAAGATACCAAAGCATAATTATGATGTTGCTTTCCTAATGAAAAGATAGGAAAGTCTTGGAGGGATACCTTTGTATAATGACAGCAGCTAGGACATAGACAAAAGTAAAGCTGGTCCATGACAGAATGTTTTTGAAGAAAAAGAAATGTCACCAACTTAAATTTTTTTAAAGGGGCAGGAAATATGGCTTCTATCCAAGCCTGACAGGTTTTATTTGATCCCCCAAACCCAGGTAGTATAAAGACAGAACTGATTCCCAGGCCATGTCCTCTAGGTTATACACAAGCACATTATATACATGCATGTCCATGTACATAAATAAAAAAGCTAATTAATTTATTTTAACTATCTTAAAAAGAAATATCATTAGTTTGGGCATTTATTACTAACTTAGCAGACAACGGCAGAAATAGTTAAATCCTATTTTGACAAGCAGTGACTGTCTTTTACAACAGAAATTCAAATGTCCTCTTGCATTTAATTTGGGCCTAGAAAAAAATTTGTATACCACTGGGCTTGTCAAAGGTTAGATGTGAAGGATAGTTAAAATGAAATAATTTATAAGGAAGGAAAGTAATGGACAAATGCTCCTGCTGGTACACTTGCACTATAGAGCAAAATAAAATCTTTGATAACTGTGACAGAGTAAGTGGGACTCTACCTCGTGCCTTCTGTGTGGTTGTGCCGTATTAGAAAAGAGCTTTCCTTTCTGTATTCAGCTCTGCACAAGAAGACATGGTTGAGTGACACATCAGTGTGTTTGCAGCCCCAGACATCCCTTCCCTCAGAACTGAGGGCTTCTAAAGTGCTCACGGTTTCACATGAACCCAAGTATTAATTCAGAAGTGTGCCCGAGCCTGAGAGAGCATCTTCATTGTTCCATGCTTTATTCAGATGGGACTCTATCAGTGTGAACATCTCTTCTTCGTTTGCTCTTTCATTGTGTAGTATCTATTCTTCAGGGCTAAAATATTGTCTCCACAAGTTTTTCCTAATTGTAATCCCCCCGCCCAATCTAGTTTGCTTTCTGTTGCTATGATTAAAAAAAAAAAAAAAACTCTTGTTTAGTAGGCTAAAATTTCTAGATCATAATCCAATCATAAGGGAAGGAATTCAGGGCATGAACTTAAGAAGCAAGAATTGAAAGAAAAACCATGGAGGATGCTGCTCTCTAGCTAAGGACCACCTGTGTAGGATAGTGCTGTCCACAATGGGCTGACCCTTCTACATCGATCATCAATCAAGACACTTTCACAGATGTGCGCAGAGTTTAACCTGATCAAGGCCATTCATCAATTGAAGTTCATAATCTCTTTCCAGGTGACTCTAGGTTGTGTCAAGTTGATAATAAAGAATGTCTAGGACATTGCCCATTATGCAAATTTCCATTAACAAAGCTAGAAATATGGTTGAAGAAACTTTGGAAATAGATTCATTAAAAAGAAGATCATTATGCTTTATAGAAGAAACTTTAGGAAGATGAAATTTGAATAGGAGATACAAAGTCAAAGCAGAGAATAGGTAGGTCATAGACACTCAAGTCTTTGTCTCTGAAGCTCCTTAAATTGCAGTCATGAGTAAAAGGGAAGAAGGCAGGAGATGAGAAAGAAGCATCCTCAATATTTGAAAGGATAATCTGGAGTTTTTAATCTAAATGCTGCATTTTCCAAGTTCAGAAGAGTTATGATAGTCTTGTTTTCTCCTGAAACACAAAGTATGTATGTAGGTTGTCCATTTTCATAATTGTATTTAGAGAGAAAAACAATTGCTATTTTTAAGCAGCACTATCCCAAAAGGTGATCATTTAAGTTCAGAGCCATAGACCTTCTAGAACTCTGGGACTTGTCACAAGGTGTATCTAGCAGGAAAAGCTTTACATAATAAAAGTCACACATTACCATAATAAGAAAGTTTGAATCCAATCTTCCTGACCAAAGTACCCAGAAATTCCACATTTTCAAGTTCATCACACTGGTAGAGGATCCATTCAGCCTCAATTTTCTAAGCAGCTGATAGAAGCCACAGGTTCTTCTAGAGGACCAGCGTTGTCCTCCACTCTTTTTTATTAAGTCAATAAATGTGCATAAATTTGAGCAGTTGATGTTTGCTGAGTGAGGCAAAAATCACTCTCTTTTGACTGGCTACTGATATGCTGCCCATGCCCCAGTGATTGGTGCCCTGCCTATGTGCATAGAAGTACTAGTTGAACTTTAGGGAGGTAGTATCCAAAAAGCAGGACATGAAGTTGGGAGAGCAATGGAACTCAGGGTACTTGGGGTAGTTGAGGATAGGCAATAGTGAATAGATAGGATAGAAATAATACGCATAAAAATTTCAAAAACTAAACAAATATTTGTTTCCAAGTTAAGAAAAATACTAGCAGCAGTGCTGGGGTGGGTTCTCCTTCCAGCCAGCAGTGCCCTGTGCCAGGAGCTGGTTGCCTACCTTCCTTGGTCCTTGGTGTGATGGTTGCTGGTAGACTCTGGGCACAGTACACCTCCCGGGTCTGGATCCCACCACCACACACTGGTCCTGTGTCATGCCAAAGTGGGTCCTGTTGCTCCAGAAGAAGAGAGACTTGGCATTCCCTCCATTCAGAGGTTCTCCAGGAATACCTATGTGGTTTGATTTGTTTGAAAGAAGAAGAGGCAATGAGGAAAGTATCCAGATCTGAAGAAAGCAGGCAATGACATCGAACATGCACAAAAATCTCTTTCTCACTGTGGAGAAAAAAGTCTCCTGGCTTTGGATTACTAAATCTCTGTTATTTCCCAGAGAAATGCACACTTGTCCATTGTGTCAACAGAGAGCACAAAGTGACTGGACTGAAGGAAGGCAAATAAGGCAAGTGGTGAGTGTTTAAGGCAAGCTGTGGATGTGTAAGGCAAGCTGTGGGTGTGTAAGGCAAGCTGTGGGTGTCTCAGCATGAAGTGCAAGAGAGAGAAGAATTAGAGGGATGATCTGCAAACACAATATGGCAGCTGAAATTGTCATTGAGAGTTACCAGACAGACTTCCAGATGACTATATGCAAGTTAGCTTTCTTTTTCAGTTAGCAGAGGAATGTATACTCTTGTGGACATTTTTGTTCCTAATAGAGCAAATTGGTCTCTAACATCTCAATCATGATGTAGAAATCATTTTCTCCCCATTTAACGCCTTGACACTGGGATAAAGCAATTAAGATGAATTCATTAAAATGTGTGTTACATGTTTATTAAAATGTGTTAACACTGTGTATGTCACTCTGTTTAGTCAACAAATATTTTTCAACACAAGCAGCATGCAGTTATTTAAACTGACTTAGAAATGTGTCTTCCTGGTTTATAATTAATTGGTGAAGAAACATATCAAAACTAAAGTAGTAAAATACAATAGAGTTTATACGCAATTTACAGAAAACAAAACTTTCACAATCATACCTGGGTTAACATCATCAGACATAATTTCCTTTTGTGGGTTATTACAGCGTTATTCAAGCCCAAATCATTAATATGACTCACAGCATCCTCATACATACACACAGACTCATTACCTTCTGGAATAACAAAGAAAACCTGAGAACATGCTCAGATGTGAGGAAAGATTTCTCAGCTATGTGATTGCTTACAATAAAAGTAAAATATAGTAATTATTATATGTCACCAAGTCTGTGGTTTTTCAGAAACAAGAGTGAAATTTCAGAAACAAGAGTGAAACAAGAGTGAAATCAAGCAGTAAATATGCAAATATCTAAAAATCTTGATAACGATCAAACCCTTTGCAGCGAATGTTATCATTCTAAAAAGCTGGAAAGCATGGGGTCATTAGTCTGCATGAAGCTCATTGTCAGATGAAGATGCAGACAATCCATCCAGACTTGTTGCAACACGATTTTTCTCCCTTACCTTCACTACTTCATTTCCACATGATTTCCCCAGGCTTAAAGATTTGTGGACAAGGGACTACTGTGGAGACAGTTCAGCTGTATAAGTGTTAGAACATGACCTCAGATGCCCAGATCTCAGGTATGCACCCTGGCTGATTATGGAGAAAAATAGGACCCCTGGAGTTTTCTGGCCAGCCAGTTTAAATGAATACATGAGCTTCAGAATTAGTAAAATCTCAAAACACAAGGTGGAGAGAAATTAAGGAAAATACCTCCTATCAACCTCTGGTCTCCACATTCATACACATGTACATGTACACTCACATGCACACAAACTTACATGGACACGTGCACACCACACAAAGTAGTATATACAAATATATGTACAACATACACAAAGGAGTAGGGATTTGTGACAAGGAAGGAATTTGAGGTCCCAAAGTCAAATCTTCCTCCTTACAGGTGAACATAAACAACATTCTTCTAATTCCTGGGCAGCAGAAAGATAGAGAGCAGGTCAGGTCTCCCCAGAGCATGAGACAGCACTTCTTCAAAGGAATAACTATAAAGCAACCCATCCCCTGCAGCTGGTTTTCCTGGTCCTGCCTGCCCCACGGTCAGGCAAATCTCTCTCACCCACCAGTCCTGCAGTTGCTCAGACCCAAGCAAACACACAGAGACTTATATTACTTATAAACTGTATGGCTGTGGCAGGCTTCTTGTTATCTAGTTCTTATATCTTAAATTAACCCATTTACCTTGCCACGTGACTCGTGGCTTACCGGTGTCTTACATCATACTTCTCATCGCGGTGGCTGGCAGCGTCTCTCTGCCTCAGCCTTCCACTTCCCAGAATTCTCTACTCTCCTTGTCCCACCTATACTTCCTGCCTGGCTACTGGCCAATCAGCACTTTATTTTTTCAATCAATCATCCACAGCAATCCCCAACTTCTCAACCCATTCCCTAGGGTCACATAAGTAAAGGACTTGGCTCTGTGCTGTGGGACACAGGGAGCTCTGTTGGATATCAAAGCGAAGTGAGGTTGGTGACTGACTGTAGGACTCGATGGTTACTCAACTCTTCACCTTCAAGTGCTCTTCCTTTTTGACTCTGCTAAAGAAGTCTCTCTGCCTACTAAGGAGCTAGCTACAGCAGCTGACTCTGAACCAGTAAGACCACTGTGTGTAGTATGCACTGGGGTGTTGATCATGGTCTTCTTAAGAATCTCACCAACGTGACCTGAATAGGAACCTTGCTACTTATTAGTCCTTCAACTTGATCAACTTGATTTCCAGTTCTATTTTCTCATTCATAAGATGCAAGTAATCAACCAAACACTGAATTTGGCATATAATGAAAGTTAATCCTCTTTCTAATTTTTTTTCACATCCCCCACACACATATTTCTCTTTTTACTCGAGACAGGGGCAAATGTATTCCAGACTTGCTCTGAACTCACACTTGTTGTATAGCTGAGGATAACCTTGAGTTTCTGATCCTCTTATCCCTATTTCCAGACTACTCCAGTTATAGCTATCTACCATTACACCTGGTTTATGTAGTGCTGGTGACTGAACCTAGGGCTTCACACATGATAGGCAAACACTTTACCAATTGAGCTACATCCCTATTCCTCTGTCTCTTTATATCCTCCTCTGTGTATTCGTCCATTGCTGCCTCACCACACACACACACACACACACACACACACACACACACACACACACACACTTATTCATGGGGGTTTCATTGATAGCTATACATTTGGTCTTACCTAGCACTGTACCCTGCATGCTCCAACACTGTCCTGCCAGATAAGATGTTCCCTCCTAGGAAACAGTAGTGTGACTGTTGGAGGGGTATCCAATTGCTCTCTGGTTGGATTTGAAGCCTACCACAGGAGGGACTTCATGCCTGGCACTATAAATCTGGTCAATAACCCATGGCTCAGGTGGTCACGGTTTCTAGGGGGAACCTATTGCTGTTGTTTTACTAAATGTTCATGTTATCCAACTGCCTTATAACTATTCATGGTTTTTGTTTGTTTGTTTGTTTTGGTAACTATTCATGTTTGTATCCATAGATTTGTGCTGCTGGTAAGGGAAGTTTATTTAACAATGGGCAGTGGTTAGCTCAGAGACTAGTCAAAGTAATAAGAACAAGAAGGTGTGAGTGGTTAGCCATAGACTGAACATCTAGATCAACCACTTTAAACCTAAAGTTCAAGAAAAATTGGGGAACAGAGGGCAGAAAGAATGCTAGAATCAGAGGCTGGGGAAGAGTGCTTTCCTCCTGGCCATGACATGGCTGTTGCACATATAACTCAAAGCCACTGTGGTTACTGACACCAGATCTGTGCAAGATCAAGCTAGTTCCAATTTCAGGGTAGATGGGGAAGTGGCTCCCAATGCTCCCCTGCAAGCTGAGGGGTCACTGGTAGTGGATGGCTGCTGAGAGAGGGAGAGCGCCCTTTCATCAGGGCTGTGGCCACTGGCAGGTGCTACTCCCCACCGGTCAGTGGCACATGCACAGGCATACAGACAGCACTATAACTATGTGGATTGTATTTAAGAAAAAGACAGAAACGGAGATGGAGGGAGTTGTCCTGGAGATACCTAAAAGGAACTGGAAGGGAAGTGTGAGGTGGATATGACTAAGGTACATTTTATAGATGTTTATAATTATCAAAGAGTAAATTTCAAAATGTTTTTAAATTCTAAAAAGTCCTAGATTGGATATTTCTTAATGACACATTCTTCTTATTCCAGCAAACAAAGTGTTGAAAAGAGCATGGAGAACAGTTTAGCACCATGGCAAGTCAAACAGGGAACAGGTTACCTGGTACAAACCGCTTTTTCAATTATTTTTTCACAACTCTGTAATAATTATTAATAGATTTTGGAAGTCATTGTGAAGAAAAATGAAAAGGAAAGTTTAATGACTATGGTTTCACATAAAGAAACAAAAATCTCTGTTGGTAGCTCATTAACCAGAGAGGCCCAAATTCTGTTCACTGGCAAGTGACAAAAGTCTCTAAAGAAAAACGGGGCATTTACTGCTATCACTATTGTTTCCCATCCCTGAGAAAATACCAACTCAGCAAGAGGCCAAGAAAACGGCAGACCAGGAAAGGGCTTCTGCTCCTTTTTAAATACAGGTCATTACATAGTCTTTGCTCATCTCTTTTAACTTCATGTTTTCCAAAAGCCTCAGCTAGGTTTAGTCACAAATCACCCAGCAGCCATGAAAACTGAGCGCCCTGAACTCCACCAACCTAAGAGAGAGAGTGTCTCTAGGATCTGACAGAATAAGAAATCAAAGGGGTGCGCTCAGCTAAACGTTACTCCCTCGCTGCTTCAGAAGTGTTTATGGTGGGAGGCCGAGGCAAATGCTGGCTCCCTCGCCTGCGACATTCTCTCTAATGGCTGAGTCTGTGTCAGTGACCAGGCTTTGCAAACCTCTGCTTCTAAGTTCAGTGCCATTCAACACATCTCATTCTGCCTTCCTGCTCAGGAGGGGAATGTGAAGTCTTAGAAACCAGAGTCCTCTGTCCTCTGGGGAAGCAACACTCTCAAAGTGGCTCTGGAAATGCCTCCAGTGGAGTAGATGGACACCAAAGGAAAGAAAGGAGTGGATTTCCATGCCTCCTACCTTGGCATGTGTATAGAATCAATTTGCTTTTGCCTGACAGTTTGGCTCAAGAGAACAAACATGGCATTAATTTATTTGGGCTGTTATGGGGTCAG